ACTCACGGACCGTGAGATCATGACCTGAGCCGAAGTCGGCGCTTCACTGACCGAGCCACCCAGGCGCCCCCGCCATAGCATATTTCTTCCGTAGATGCACACCTTCAGCAGAGTACTGATTTTAGGTAGTCAGGCTGTCTTCACACTTTTCCTGTTCCAAACAGTGGTGCTTTGAGTGTACTTGTCCTAATGCATTGTAAGTGTAAAGAACTTTCTGTGTGAATACTGAAAAATAGAGTATTAATGAGTAAAATTTTATGCCCACTTGTCTCAAATACCACATTACAGTAAACTTCTTTTGATGCATGTTTCTTTCTTAATTTCTCAAACTTCTTAAAGGACTTCATCTCAGGGTTAGTTGCTGTTGGTCAGGAATCCGTATCTTTGACTAGATAGCGGCTCCGCATTGGTCCGGTCGTTTCATGACGAGGTTGCTTAGAATAGTGAGCTTGAGCTGGTTTCTTAGATATGTCTTTGACCGTATTCTCCTTTCTTCTTCTTCTTCTAGCACTTGGAACAGCTCCGTGCAAATAGAAATAACTTAAATCCAGCACAGAAACTGATGCTGGAACAGCTGGAAAGTCAGTTTGTCTTAATGCAGCAACACCAAGTGTGTATAGCATTTTTTTCCCCTAAAATTTGTTAGCGTTTTGAGTACTTTTATTGACTGAAACATTTTAGAGCATGGTCATGCCTGCTTCTTTCTACCAGTATTTGGTGGAATTTAGTAATCTTGCTTCTTAAAATACTAATAATGGACAGAGAGTTTTAGGAAAAAACAGCTATAAATTTAATTTTGAGCACAAGACTTGGTATTTTATTATTTATTTACATGCTATTTTACCGCTGTTCTGAGGGTTTATTTCTATTATTGAATACTTAACGAGCTGCCCTAAACCGAGATGGGGTTCTTCAGGACTTGTTGAATTTGGAGGATCTGACATACAAATATAATAGAGTGTAAATTGGAGATCCTCTATTTTGTGATTGGGAAAAAGACCTGTAAATTCCAGTTTTCTTAATTTTCAGCTGCTTTCTTTTGTCGTTACTAAAGGGATGTTTCTTAAAAATAAAACAGATTTCTGCTTTTCTGAGGAAGCTAATCTAAATATGACTGAACACAATTTCTTGTTTTTAAAAAAGTGTGTATTTTTCAGCCTAGAGAAATTAAATGTTAGGGTAAAATCAGAGATTACCTGGTTATATATACTCCTTCATATTTTTGGTCCTCTACCTTATGGCCCACACAAGGAGCGTTTATTTTTCATTTGCCTTTTCACAGATGAGACAAACAGGAGTTGCACAGGTACGATCTACTGGAATTCCTAACGGGCCGACAGCTGACTCATCACTGCCTGCAAACTCCATCTCTGGCCAGCAGCCCCAGCTCGCTCTGACCAGAGTGCCTAGCGTGTCTCAGCCTGGAGTCCGCCCTGCCTGTCCTGGGCAGCCTTTGGCCAACGGACCCTTTTCTACAGGCCATGTTCCCTGTAGCACATCAAGAACGCTGGGGAGTACAGACGCTATTTTGATAGGCAATAATCACATAACGGGAAGTGGAAGTAACGGAAACGTGCCTTACCTGCAGCGAAACGCACTCACTCTACCTCATAACCGCACAAACCTGACCAGCAGCGCAGAGGAGCCGTGGAAAAACCAACTATCTAACTCCACTCAGGTAATAGAAGAGCTAGCTGCTTCGTTGGCTTCTCACATACTAGTTCTTTTTTTTTTTTTTTTTTTTGGTTTCATGCATTCTGAGAGAAAAAGAAATAGAAGTTTGAGAAACTGTTTTTGTAAGTATTTTATAGTACTGTGATGTTATCAGCTATATTTTGATTGCCAACGTACATACACACGTACATAAGTGTATTTTCTTTTCCGTTATAAGATTCTACACCCACACGTGCACATACACACACACAGTCTTGGAAATTTCCACAGGATAGAGAAAATAGATCATACAGCCCC